AATACATTTAATTAAAGTCAACGTTTCAGTTTCTTCAGTGTAACCTTCAGTCATTGAGGAGGCATCTGAAAGGGGACCAGTGAAGCAACAACAGGCTGTAAAGGTGAGAGGAAGTCTGCGGTCTCAGAGAGATGACCAATGTAAAACGGTTTCAAGCAGGGGAGTGTGATCTAATACCTCAGCAATGTTCTTTTTAGGCCTACTAAAACTGTGCTACAACTCTGGAGCACTTCTGTCTTATTTACATCTTACAGAATCTAACATGTTCCTCACAATATACAACCCAAACCATCATCAAACGATTGACTGATAACCTGCCACAGTCAGCACCGTACATCACAAAGCAAAGGGCAACATTGAGTGGAGGATGATTCTTGTTACTTTTTTCAGAGTGCAAACGTTAGTCAAAGGTACTTTACATAGGTGCGTGATACACCAAGTTGCACCTGTCACATTTGCTTGCATTTGTGACTTTTAGTTTCCTTTTCGGATAAAGCATTTTTTGGGGAAATCAACTTTTATATATTTACAAATATAAGAGATCAGGACCTACATGTACAGAATATATGTCAAATAAATAATAACTGTGTGGTGGGAAGGTTAAGGTACATACATCTGAAGTAAAACACAGAGTAACTGTAATACAACATGAGTACGAGAAGAGCAGCACAATGACAGATAAACAACAACCATGACAGATATTCTCATGTTGGAAAGCCAGCTGACACAAATATCTGAAACATACAGTTGTGTTTATGCTTCTCATGAACAACAACATATTCTGGAGACATCTTTATTCTGGCTATTTTGAGTGTGAAACAACAAAATAAGTTGGTAAGAAATATGTATATAACAATTAATTAAATTAAGGACTTATATTAATACTATCCACATAATGTAATAAATAGAAATATCAAATAAATATTTAAAATAAAAAGTGAACTGCAGTCGCTGCTGTTAAGATCTTTTGATTTAGCATCGGAGGTTTTAATAGTACTGTTGAGTAGCAGGTAACTAAGTCTGAGTGCCGACATGATGAGGTGAATAGAGAAGCACTCAGTGAACGTTTAGTAGAACAAAAAGTCAGTCCATCAGTGAGATAACAGAAGGACAAACATGGTTGAAGGCAAGTGAAATACTGATTGTACATAATTCTTTTCTTTTTTCTTTCTTCATCAGCAAAAACTAAAAAACTAGTGGATACGTTTCATCTCAACGGTGGCTGTGAATTTAATGTATATATTTTCATGCTGTAAATTCAAGAATTCTTGCCCTTGTGCCTTTTTTATCTGTAATGATTGACAAAATAATTGAGTTTAAAAAAACTAGAGGGAGGGAAAGATTATAGGATTCCTGTGTAAAGGTGGGTTCAGACTGACATTTCAGAGGTGGTGTGATTGAATACAAAATCAATGCACAAATTAAATAATCCAAACCTGTCATTCAGCAAAACGTTGTGTCTATTTTTAGGCTTAATGACTCCAATTCATAAACAAAAGACAAACAAAAAGGTCTGGAGTAACAAAGAGAACTGCAGGTCAGTGCATGTTACTCTAATGTTTTTTAAATGGCTTTTTAAGGCAAATAAACTCAGAATGCAAAAAGAAAGAAAACAAAACACAATCCATACATATGGTAAAATAAATCAAAGGCAAACATGTAGTCTGAACACACCTCAAGGATTCCTGGCTCTCAAGCTGCATTCATGTCCCATCGGCTAAAAGTACATTTAAGCGTCCAACTTGAAAACATGACTTGGCTTACACGTAATAAAAACTCATTGGGATCTTTGCGATTTGGGCCCTAAACTTCCAGAATGAAGGTGTAAATGTTAAAAATATTTATATAGGTAATTTGGAATATATATAAATAAATAAAAATTAATTGTAACTTGTTTTATTATTAGCGTTGACATTGCAATGTTTTGTTTGGTGCAAAATTACTTTAAAACGTATTGTGTGTAGTAAATGGTCAACCAAAGCCGAAATAAAAACAGAAACATGTTCACTGTCAGCCGACAGTTGTCCCCATGTGACATGAATGCAGAGTTAGCATGCATGCTAACTAGGGGATCGACTCGGTTGTGGTCTACCGTTTTTCTCAGGCAAAACTAACTTTCCTCTCGTGTGCCTTCCATTTTCCTTGCTCTAAGCTACTACCATGCTCCAAAATAGTAATTCTTAAAAAAAAAGGGATTCATTAACAGCATACTTTAGCAGAGCTTGGTGCATGTGGCAGAAATAGCTTTTCTTGTGGCGGCCATTTTGAACATCTGCACTACAATATTGGATTAGAGGTAAGAAAAACATGTCTGCTCCATCGAACAAGGCAAAGTGAATAAAAGCATGTGATTTAGTTTGCAAGTGGTAAAAAAAGAAACCCAAAACGTGTACTTTTACTAACCAGATCAAACCCAAAATGTTATGAAGGAGGTGATAGTGCATAGTTTTGCAGGGCACTAAAATGTGTGCCAGGACTGTATACAGCACTCAATAAGAATTAATGACTCGTCTACCAGCTGTGGAAAAACTAAACTCTTTCATTGCGTAAATATCAATATGATAAACATATCTGCGGGCATCCTGTTGTGTTTGATGGTTAGAAGCTGATATGTTACAGGACGTGTGTGCGTAAGGGACCTCGTGTGTGTACTTTACTGGGATGCTTCACAGAGGTTTTTGAGGGGCTAATCAGGAAGGAGAGAAGGGACGCTGAAAATGTTTGGAGCAGAAACCAACCAAGGTCAAATCTCTAAAGAACGCTTGTCAATGCCTCCACGTGCTGAAGGCTGCTCCCAAGTCTGTGTAGGGGCAGGCGGAGCAGAGGAAAACGAGCACTGTCCTCTTTGTCCCAATGTCACCTCCAGTGGGCCCATTTCTTCCAGCTGGAAACTAGAATAAAGGCTTGTGGTCTGATTCCACTCCTGTTCCCCCGATACAGCAGAGGGAAGCCTGCAGTCTCCAGACAGGCCGCTGCGTCCCTTCTGTGTTTAATGTGTTTCATATATTAATATATTCACGTGTGTGTGTTTGTGTCTGGTGTATTGTGTTGTGGTAACACCCTGAAATCAGAGGGTGCCACCGGGTCCCCCGGGTGGTTCTACGGCGCTACGCCAGCGAGTAGATGGCGTTGACGGGCGAGGTGGCCTCAGAGCTCTCGTTGCCCTCCGTTTCGTCCTTGTCCTTCTTCACCGTGTACTGGCCAATGAAAGAGCCGTCCTCGTTGAACTGGCCGTCGCCGCCCTCTCCGTAGTCCACTAAGCTGTCGTCGCTCTCCTTCACGTTGCCGTCCAGAGACGTCTGGCTGCCCTGCAGAGGCTTGTTGTCCTCGTCGCTGCTGTAAAGGTGAAGCAGAGTTCAAAGTTAAAATGGAAGCAGGAAGTTGTCATGGTGTGAGAAGGAAGTGGAGACCCGGTCATCCCGTCGGACAGGTTAGAGGGGAAAGTGAAAGGTTATGGGGGTTGCAGGTAAAGAAATGATGTTAACTATATATTTTCCGCTTTTCAAACTCTTACTGAAGTGACTATATGTTCAGGTCACTCTGACTATAATTCAGATTTATACAATTCATTTCTTTTCCATATTTTCTTTAAATGATAGGTTTGAATGATTTAAAATCTATCAAAAATACAGCACGCACATGGTGTTGGTAATGTGGACGTGTCTCTGTATTTATTCCTCCTAACCATAAAGGCCACAGAGCATCATACTACTGGTGTGTGAGTACTGTATCAAGATAGAGCTCAGAAAATCCAAACCTACCATTTAATAAGATAGCTGCATTTGTATTTTATATCAAAGATGCTTGTTGTTGCAAAATGTAAAGAGTATTTTAGAGAACATTATACATGTTTGTTTTACAAGCAACCCTGTCTCCTAGAAATTCTGTTCATAGAAATCTAGCTTGCACCAATTTGTTTTATTTGAAATGCGATTGCCAGGATATAGTTATTTTTCTCTTTATCAAACTGTTTACTGTTTCATATTTCCTTACCTAATCCCTACAGTAAGCCTAACAACGCTGTATTATCTAAGATTCACTGTGACTTCTGTACAAAATATTTAAAACACACTTCCTAGACTGGAAAACACAGAGCCAGTGAAAATATTACCTACAAGATATTTGACAAAGTGAATGAGTGAACACACAGAATTTGGTAGGAGACAGGAGTGATTCAAAGACATAAATACTGTGGTAAAGATTCCAACAAGAAATGTTCATACACATGCTAAATGTGGCCATATTATTCTGACATGAGATCCAAGCAGTAGAAATCATTTGCACCTCATCTGTAGAGCTGACTACAGATGGCTCCTCACTCTGACTTTAGGGGAAGAGAACGTCATGCACAGGAAGTAAGAGCTACAGGCTAGCATTAGCTTTCCTTTTCAGCTCAGGTCAGTAGCATAACAGCAGGAAATGCATTTAAAGAGCATCTTGCAGGTTTTTTTTTTTCTACATTTATGCTTAAACTTGCTTGAAAATTACAATTAAAAAAATGAATGTAGGATTTGATATGTTTTACGAGACATAAGGGCAGGAATTCAGAGGGAAAAAAGCAATTTTGAGCTCTGCTCTTAAAAACGGCTTTTTTTTTTAAGGTCATACGTCCAACGCGTCATATTACATAACAAAGGGGAAACATCTCCGCTCTCTGACCGCGGGTATAGTTAGTAGTTGCGTTGAGTTGAGCGGTTGTGTTTTAGTGAGCTGGTATTTTTCGGTAGTTTTACATTGTATTTCACCATTTGTAATCATGGTGCAGTATTGTGTTTGTGCAGGTTGCACAAATACCAGCCTGTCAGGACATCGAGTCCACAGTAAAAAGGACCGGAGCTAGTGTTCGTTCCTGGGTGCGTTGTGCATCCACCTCCCTGCAGCACATACTCTCCACAGCTTTATCAGGAAACCGTATTACTTCACTCTGCCTCCCAAGAAGAGCTCGCCTCTCTCCAGTCATTTAAGCTAAAGTTGGTTATTGAACCTGAAGCTTGTTGCTTCTGCCCTCCTCGACTACGGTCTGGGAGCCGACAGGAAAGTTCAACACACAGTTGGCCAGTCCGCCCCTTTGTAGCATATTATTTCGATGAGAGATGAGCAGATCGCCACTGGGCTTTCAACTAAATACACAGCCACGCAAAAACTGCGGCATTTGTACAGCTCCTTATGGGTACTGCAATCAGTGAAGTGCTTTCCTCCGTGGTGAAACGATCAGCACTGCACCACGGAGGAAAGCGGCAGAAAGTCACCTGGAGTTAAAGAGAGCGGGGCTGCGTTACGTGCATGGCTTCCTTCTGCAGGTAACGGGGAGACGCGCTCTGGCGGCGGTCTCGTTCAGGATCCGAAAATACAATTTAAATATTTTTGCACACTTATTCCACTTATTCCTAGTGTGCCACTGGTTACGGTGCCGCGTGCCAATGCTGGCACGCGTGCCAGGGGTTGCCGACCCCTGCTGTAGTGTATATTTCTGTATATTTTTTGGAAAATCTAGTGTATTCATCATTTTCCTACACATTTATTCACAGGTGTCTTTAACCTGGAAGTTGCTCTTTAAAGATGCAGAAGTGAAACATTTTTCCTTTTCTTTTTATTTTCTCTGCTCGGGTCTGCTTATAGCATATTATGGTTATCATATTAACTATCCAGATTCCCATCAGATCAGATCAGAATGTACACTGAAGCTTCTCATATTCATCATGCTCCATGCGGAAACACTTCGGGAACCACAGACATCACACTTTAGAAACCATACCTGTGTTTAAGTACAAATGGACCACAATCACATTCTGACAAACTTAGAATCTAAATTCAACCCACATCCAGTATTTGTTATATAAATCCACAAAAAAACGTTCAGAGTAGAGCGAGAGGCCGTTAGCAGAAAGTAGAACTACAGACGTTGTCTAAACACAAGCGGACACCTGACAAGGTGAAGAGATGAAAAGGTGAAGAGAGTGGGAGTTGAGCATAAAGTGGGTGGGAGGGTAAGAACGTCATCTTAAAATCATTTAGAATGTTAATTAGTCATGAAAATCCCTTTCTATTTAACCCAAATCTTTTAGCAGCTTTGGCTTTCTGTTAGCACGTCAAACGACAGAAGCATAGTGCTATAGAACCAGCAGAAATGTGTCACGCATTGCCACGTTTGTTAAGGAAGAAAGGTTATGCCACTAAAGATGCCCAGAGCGCCTGTTATACACAGTCCAGTGTGCTGGCAGCTACAAAGTCTTTCTGTATTTTCATATCCTTTGAGTGTGCTTCTGTCTGTACCAGTGCCACTGAAACACTTCCAGATAACCTCTCTCACAGCTAATCAAACACATCTGGTCAATAGGAAGGGACATCTTTAAACCGCTATCCCTGGACTCATTTGCCAAGCTTGCTTACATTGGTTGACCACACACACTTTAAGAGAGAAACTGTTATAAAGTGACTTGGACATTTTTTCAGAATGAAAGAGTCGGGAATGATTCTATTATCTGATTAGGTGACTTTAAGAGCAAAGATGGGTGGAGTAGGATGGGAATGGGTGAATAACCTTCCAAATTAGAAAGTAAAATCGCCCACTTTCAGCGTTCATGAAATCCCAGGAAAATGACACAGATTAACATAAACATAGAGTTTGAAAGTCGTTGACAATACAAATCATCAACTAGTTTTATATGATCCATTATTGGATTAACTATGCTTTGGAATGCTTTTCGTTGATAGATCAAGTTCATTCGGACGATAACACATTGGAATGGCTCTAACAGACATTAAGCAATTCAAATGCACAGCAAATCAGCAGATCATATTAGAGCAGGTTAGGAGACTCTTCTCCTGTCCTACCTTTCAAGAGACCTTTGGACCAATGAGAAAATAAAAAAGAGACAAAGGGCAAAGACATAAAGTGGGAAGGGTAGAACAGAAATACAGTCATGACAGATGGACAACAGACATGTGACATACACAGATATACTACTGTAAAACTGAAAAGGGACAACATTAACATGTATATGTCTTTTAGGGTGGCAGTTAATACATATAAATGATCATAATCCTAATGGCATGAAACCAAAACAAAGGTTTGAGCTTTGGGGCAGCATAGCATGTGTCAGGGCCATCTTTTTCCTCCTTTTACAACTTGGGTCTCATTTTTGTGGTTCTGGCCATCAATTGCTACCAGGTATAACAACACTGTAGGCACCAGCTGTTCAGATAGAGGGAATTCACAACAAACGAAGTTTGGCGGGGCAGGTAACCCCAGCAGTCACACGGATTGTGGCAGCCCAGGATGCCATTGTGCGATTAAGCGCCACATCATTCGTGGTGTACAAGCACACAATCTCCATGTTCTTGTCCGACAACAGGGCTGGGACGGGATCAAGCCAACCGTTTATCTAAAACACTAAATGAATAGGGTTAAACTGAAATTAAGCGTATCTCTCAATACTGTATGTTACGTATAATCCTTCATTACAAGAAAAATAAATGTGTGGAATCAGTAAGTGGGTTCAATTAATGATTAATCCTATTGTTCACATTTGTTGTCTCTTCCCTGGAGGTTTGTTTACAACCTGTATGATGGGCTGAGTAACCCTTTTTAGAAATGTTGCCTGGTTTGTACATACTGATGGCCAACAACAAAAGAGAAAACCCAGGTTATAATACATTGGATTTATTTCTAAACAACTACACTAGAACACGCTAATTTGTTTCATGCGGGATAAAAGTGTGACATATTGATGTTTAGCTCTTGTGCTGCACATTAAAACTAGAAGACAGGATGCCAAACAAGATTGAGAGAACAAGAGAAGCTATGCATAGAAGAAATGTAATTCCTAGGGTTTTTACTTTGAAGTCATTTCTAGATTTTAAAGCTACATGGATTTAAGGTCGTACATTTTTGTTTGTTAGACCTTTGAAATGTTGGTTTAATCTTTTCTCCTCCAAATGTTTTCTCCACTTGTTTGTTGCCTAAATCACTTCCTTAAGGGCGTCAAACTGTGCCAAACATCTCCCTCCCTCCCGGCCCCCACTACAACACAAATAGATTCCATTGCCTCATGCACCTGCGTTGATTTTTAAATGTCAACCGGCAGAGGGAAACATTGTAATGAACTCTAGAAGGGTGATCACATGTTAGAGCACTGAAGGGTCAGATGCATAGTGTCAGGCTGCTCTCTGGGATCATGTCTCAGTTACTGCAGAACAGCTGACTCATGATGTGGTTATAGGGACGAAGACTTCTGTAACAGCAGCAATGTTATATTAAGATGAATTGTTTATTATTGCTCCAATGTTGAGCTCGATGAAAGCAGCTTGGAGCCTTTCACAACAATAAAAGAATCAATGAAAAGTTTGACGGGAAGGCAGGGGGCGGTGTGTGTGCTCTGTGTGTTTTCATTGAGGTTTGAGTGCTGATGTTCTCTCCACATGTGGTTGTTTTAGAGCTCAGGGCAGAACCAAGACATATATTAGTTCAGATCTTTTATACAGCCCTGAAAGGTCTGGTTTGATGCATCTTACCTAAAATGATTGTTTCCTTTCACCCTGCTCTTCAGTGAATTCACTGTGTAATCATTTTATTTTTGTATTCCAAAGGTAGGCAATCAAAGCAGTATAAGTATCACCAGGGTGATGGAGGATATGTTGGGATGAGTCTGTTAGTATAGAGCATGTTTCAGTTTGAAGTGTGAAACATGAAAGCCTGTCTGGAGGTTTGACCATGCAAACTAAAGAGCTTTGTTCCAACAGCAGAGAGGAAGGACTGTGGCTCTGATCAGACCTGCAGCTTGTTATTTTGTCCACAAACAAACCACCTAGTAACTTAATGAAATTATCTTCACTTAAGGGATAGTTCAGCCTTTTGAAAAATACAATTTGTATCTATAATAAGGTCAGCGTGAATCTTGTGTCTGTTTAGCTTAGCTTAACATGAAGACTGGAAGCTGACAGAAACTGCTACCCTGGTTCAAAACAAGCCTACAGATAAAGGATAAGCGGCCTGAAAGCACTTGATTGTTAAGTCTGTGATGCCGTCTTTAACCAAGATCACACCTGACTTTTGCGGCGCATTTTATTCTGGCGAAACATTCAATGTATCCCAAAACTGCAGCTGATAGAAAATGTGTACAGAGAGAAGCGAGCACACCAGACTGAACTGATTAGTTCAAACAGGTCACTGTTTATGTGTAAGCCTTTAATGCTCAGGTCTTTTTAAAACTCACTGATATGCTTTCTTTCCTATCTGATGCAAATTGTTTTAAATGCTTGATTGATTTTATCTTTTGCTTTTTGTGGTCAAGTATGTTGCATTGTTCTCAGTGAAAATACATACCTCCATAATCTCTGATGTGTTTTGGGTTTATTGTGTTCACTCACTTTAAGTGTTACAGCAGCTCTACAGAGACGAGGAATCAATTCTAAAAGGGAAAACATATTAGTCAACCTCATTTATTTTGTGGGAGCCCTGGCCTCAAACAAACAGGGAGGTTATATAGTTTGCTTGACGATTTGATTGACAGTTTGACACCCATAAGGAACCAGAGGCGAGCACTGCTGTCATCTCTCTAATCATATTTCATCACTGCGGGTTCGCTGCATTGTATGGCGTGTCCTCCATCGATCACAGTGTATAAATATTGCTTTTGAGACAAATGCAGGCCAGATAAATTTCATGAATGAAATCTGTGCACTCTTTGCAGGCTGACCAAAGAGCCAGCGATGCATTATCAGGCAGATTGGGGGGGTCTCCCCAAATAAGCTGCACATTATCCAGCCCACGTTCCCCCCAGCTCAGGGGAACACCTGCTCCCCCGACATGCACAGGCCAAGAGAGATGCCGTGCCAAAACCAAAGTACCTGTTCTCGTTTTCGTTCTCGTTCTCGTTTTCGTTTTCATTTTCATTCCTGTCAGGGACAGATGACCCATTTCAGCGTGGGGGAGAGAGAGGGTCGAGTCGAGAGGAAACAGGGGAGACAGTAAAAGAGAGAGGAAGTGTAGAGACAGAGAGAGGGAGGAAGGAGCTCCACATGAAACATGCATGTAAATACTGCATGCACACAAAAACACACGACACACACACAACACACACAGAGCCGGAAGCTGGGTGCTGAGGGCTGAGTAAAGCAAAGACCTTGAGTGTGAGAGACGGGCTGGGTGTTAATGTTATTTAGAGTAATGATTGATTAGATAACAGGCAGGGGCCCACACACTGGAGAGGGATTCATCAGTGTTAGGCACAGCAGCGCTCAGATGTTAGCAGAAACTGATTGTGCCTCTTTTTAACTGAACCCTAATCTGATCCATCTTGTGAATGTCAGTGCCACCAGACGCACTGCTCTGAAAAAACTGAAACATTGACTTTAATCAAATGTATTAAAATATGTTTGATTAAAGTCAACAATTACGTTTTTTCAGTGTGTTTTGTCAATCAAATAATGCTATTTTATATAATGCTTTTATTAAAAACAACCTACATCAGAGCATAGCTTTAAAATGATAAGCCATTGCCCGAAGCTGTTAGGTGGTATTCATACTGTCAACATAAGATTCAGAGGCCTTGTCTTATTCCACGGTGTCTACAATAATAGATAAAAGCTTGTGTCACTCTCACACAGCTGAGTGAGAACATAGTGGTAGTATCTGAGATTTAGAAGGCAGGTTAAATTGAAAAGTTTTTAGTCAGAGTGGACAGATACAGAAAAGACAGACTCATTCTTCATAAAGAAGAGATCAGTAGGACCTGGAAGGAGCAAAAGACACATCACTTACACAAACTGTACACAATATACTGTACATAGAAAAACCCTACTGCACATGTTCAGTAATTAGCAGTATACGAACACAATTGCCTTCTTAACATAAAACTATGTTAAGGAACTGTGTGTAGAAAAAACTCTACAACTTGCTTTCTGTGATAATCCTAACTCCAACCCTAAACCAGAGCTAGCTAAGCTAGCAAACAACAAATGGCTTTGGAACAGCAGATGTTGAATAATGATTCATAGAAATACAGTTGTGTGACAGACATTGCTGCTCTGTCACTTCTGTTGCCTTTGACTTTCTCTCTAATCCGTTTGTATTGTTTCAGTGTCGCCACAGTACAGGGTCACCACAGGTCCTAGAAGCTTCCTGCTTATTAAAGCAAACAGTATTTCCTGGGCAGCAGATGCGTTAGGGCCTTTATGTTTTGGGATCATACAGCTTTGAGTTAAAGGTTTGGCAATTACAACACAAGCTACTTACAGTATGAAAAGTTCCATACATGAGAGCATCTTTTTCAAATGTATCTATAGAACTATTTTGAAAAGCTTCACTCTTCTGCGTGGAACAAATGTGTTTTCAAATGCATCTGCCTTAGTGATGGAAGGAGCCATATTTAGCATTATTCATTACCAAAAATAAGAATCATGCCTGGCACTTCTGTGCTCTGAAACAGCTTTCTTATTACAACTTTATCTACTTTGATCTGGATCTGGATTTCTCAGATGAAACCCTCCTCTGCTCACATGACTTACTGCTCACAAAGCTGAGCTGGCCCCAGTAATAGAGGGCTTTCAAAAGGACAAAGTCTTTGAGCTGAGTCTCTCTGCCATCGTTCAAAAGATATAGATCTCTATCTGCTACAATAACTAGAGCCACCTTGATATGGACACCATGCCAATAAGAATATTCAAAACAAGGTTTTCATTTACAGTGAGACATCTAAGGTTTCCTGAAGTTTCAATAAATAGCAGGTCTTTGTGATTGTGTTGGTTTAAGACTTAGTAATGATCTTCTTTTCAGTACCATACTGAATCTTTTCTTGTTTTATTAAGCAACCATGTAACCTTTAAACATGAGTTTCAGTAAACACACACGCCATTGCCTGAACTGACTCAAATACCTCTGTATTTTAATTAGTACCATAATCCTCACAGAGTATTAAAGATAAGACGTGCTTAATAATCATACAACCAAATACATTTACAAACGTTCAAGTTAACTTCCAATAATTTCAAAGGGAAGCATTTAAAGAAAGTTGGGTTTTATACTTACTGGTAATCAAAAGATCCATCCTGGTCTTTGTGATCCACTGCGTCCAACGCCATATCTTTTTTGTCACGGACTAAATAGAAAAGAATAAAAGTAACATTTTAGGCATTTTGCTGAGAGCTGCACTTATGGTTAGATTTGACACACAAACACTTCCACGTGTTGAGGGGCTCATAGAGTTCATTTGAGCAGTAAATCCTTCTGTTTAGTCCTCAAGGCCCAGGAGTTCAAAACTTTTAATCTCAATCAGATCCGATCAGATTTTGAAATCCCATTTTTTGTGATCCAGGATCAGACAAATTGGCCAGATTTTGTCCCTGGAGTTCAAAGCAATTCAGGATAGGATCAGCCTGATCCAGATTGCGATTTTTCAAGATGACTAGATGCTGAATATCAGTGCTTTAATCCTGCCGATCGCCATCTAGTGGCATTGAAAAATAATACAAGGAAGACAAGAGACCACATTGCAGAGACATCTATTGTCCGCAATTACTTTTGAAAGGTGATGACAGATGGACTTTTTTTTTGTTGAAGGTATTTTTTCTTTAATCTAAATTACATTTGTGATTGACAATCTATGTTGTGATACTTTCATGAGCATAAACATTTATGTCATCAACATTTGGTTGAAAACAAAATAGGCCACCACAAACGTGACCAAAAAATGAAAAATAAAATTGATTTGCCATGAAGGCTAAAAATGGTGTATTATTTCAGTTAACAAACTTTGCCATCTTATTTATATTGAAACATATTTTTAAATAAATGGTACAGTACATTTTGCTCTGGTAATCCACTGGAAATCCACCCCTCTGGTGGGATCAGGATGATCCAGTTTTTTGGGATCAAACTGATCCCAATCCTGTGTTGTCGGTTTGAACTACTCGTTTCGAAGATTTGATCCAGATTAAAGCTTGGATTGGATTTCCTGATCTGGTCGGATATGAAAGTGATCCTAATCCTGTTTTTTCGTTTTGAACTCCCCAAAATCCAGATCTGATCAGATAGGGATTACAAGTTTTGAACTCCTGGGCCCAAGTGATCATTTGATTCCATATGTTTGTCTTCAACCTTTATTTTTTGAACTGTTAGCAAACACTGCGTCTTAATTCCATACTTAGCTCCTAATAAGTGATAAACTGATTTCATAAAGCAAACAAATTATGACTTTGCACAACTTTGGCACGATAAATGAATGTATTCACTGAAAGGACATGATACAAGATGCTTGCTTATAAATGTATTAACTTTATGTAATTTAACTCATGACTTATTTTGACAATTTTCTAAGCTGCTGAATTCATGTTTACTTAAGCATGCATTAGGAAATCAGTTTAGTTGTAGTTATTCAACATTATTGGGTTTGGGGTAAGGTATCACAGTCCTGCAGTCAGTAGTGGAAATACCTTTTACTCCAGTAAGTGTGGGAACTCATCTCATTAGTCTTTTTCTTTTGGGTTATATCCTTATTTGACTTATTACTGGGTGTTAGTTCTTATCTTTGACGGCATCACCGTTCAGCACCTACCTAGACATTTTGCAAAACCAGTCACGCAACCACCACCTAGACATTATAGAAACTGCAAAACATTAACACGAATAACTTCTCTTGTTCCAAACCATCAATGATCACGTTTTATATCAGCAACAATGGGGACTTAAAACGATTTCAATATTTCAGTTGTTTTTAAGGCACATTTTGAAAAATCAGTAGACGTAGTAACACAATTCACAAATGTACACCTGTAGACTCTGACCTTTAAAACCACTATTTATTATGTAAGTTAGTCTGGAACTGGTAAACAGCTTTTTCCTGTGCCAAAATGTGCGGACATTTTGAATATTGGTCTGTTGTTTTTCCTCCAGGCAAAGGATGAAACCTTAACAATAAACTACCGACATAGGTGTCCTTGGGTGCTTTGAAAGGTGCCTCTGAATAGAATGAATTATTATAAATAAATAAGATTGATATATTTCAAAATGAATAGAATGAATTATTATAAATAAATAAGATTAATATATTTCAAAATGAGTGCTATATCAGTCATTGAAGGAAATACAAAGGTGTACATGAGTGTCTCCATCCATTCTATTGATGAAGGTACACTACAATCTGTCCATCGAGAGCTGCAGTAATGAGTCCTAAAACCCAAAAATGAGTTAGCATTCAATCACTTTGAGTTCACTCGTCTCAAGTCATTGTTTTTACTGCACTTGTTTTGGTTTTAGAGGACCAATATAAGAGGGAAGCTAGAGAGATTTTAACATTTCATTTAACGACATAAAATACTTCAGTAAATACCCCACTGATTAATGTCTGAGCATATATGTGTCATAAAAAGTGACTAAATCAGAATACTAAACGTCATTGCTCTGAACATAAGCCGCCTTTAGCTTAGCGGTGGTGATGCGCAGCAATGATGTATTTCGTTTATAGCAGGCACGGGCAAACTAAGGCCCGCGGGCCATATACGGCCCGCTGGGCTTTTGAATCCGGCCTGCCGAATATTGGTACAAAATTGTCCAAATAATAGTAAAGACATAAAGCATTCATTTTGTCTTTTTCCTGCAATACCCGGCATTTCAGTTGATCCCACTAGATGGCGCACTCTAGACACAATTTACCTTTGCTAGAATCTGGTCTATTCTCTGGCCCCACTCGGCAGCAATAACATTTCATGGCGAGTACGGCGAATACAAGTTGTAAAAAGCAGTAGCGCTGAGCAAAGTGACTAGAACGCGACCACACACTTATAAAAAACACTTATATAAAGTCAGGCAACACTAACCAGGCTTAGTGTGATTCTGTTTATTTGACCGTACTTTAATAACCATCCGTTCACTGTTATTGATCATTGTGAAGAGGCAGACATTTTCCTGTTGTTTTGTATTATTGCAGCTATCGGATGGAATCAATACATGGGCTACATGTGGCCATCACAAGTAAAATCATAACGAAAACTACGCCGGTAAAATATGCGTGTAGAAAACGGCTTATGCCACAATATGATAGCAACAAGTAGTCAAGATAGTCTGATTAGCTAACGTCACCTGTAGAATGCCAGATAAACTTTCATAACAGCGTTGTGATGCCAAACAGCTTTCAGACTAAAACACACTCACGTATGGGGAATTGGGGATATTTATCAGCTGCTTGTTGTGTGACCGTCAGACAATGAAAACTTTGCAGCGGCTGCTACCGCGAGCTAACGGGAGAGTAAACTCCGGTAGACGATAGGCCACCGTAATGAGCAGCACAGGCAGTAATGCAGCTGAACCACATTAATAAACAATGCACCTCGGCACTCTGGAGAAAGGTATATGGTTGGAGAAGTAGTTCTTTAATTTAATCTGGCTTCGTATAATTAAAAACTACCCGACGCAGTCCTCTATTGATGTTGTTGTGAGCGGTGTTGCGGAGAAAATCAGCGATGTAAAACGCTGTGTGGGTCATAAGAAGGCACGTAAACGGTTACGTCATGACACAAACGATGACGCAATGACGCAATAATTCACCTTTGAACCTGCATCTGTAACAATGAGTGGACCAAAGAAAAGAAAAGTCAACATTGAGTGCCGAGTGTATAATGAGGTGTGGACAGCTAAATATTTTTTTTACCGATCTGCTACTGGCCCGGCCCGTCTGTCAAATTTTAAAACTCATAGTAACCCGAGCCAAAAAGTTTGCCCACCCCTGGTTTATAGCCTTATGTTAGCTTTTTTTTAAATAATAGCGATTGCATTTACACTTCAAATATCATAAAAGTGGTGTTGATATGAGGAGATTATCCTGCTAAACAGAACCGTTTGTATGCCAAATATCTTGTGTCTTGCAATATTCCAAAATCCAACAGAAAAATCCCAACACATTTTGTCCAGGGAGCCCTTGGGATGCTAACTTCAGTGTCAGCCAACAAAAATAGGTCATCCCTGCACCACTCCCGGTCTTCTGATGGGTATGAAAGCTTTACCTGGGTATTTGCCTCCGCGACTCCTCTTGATGAAGCAGACGATGAGCAGGATGAGGATGATGAGGGCGATGGCACACATCAGGCCGATGAACCAGCCTTGAGTGGCAATGTCCACCTGGTCTATGTAGGCTGGAGACACACAGAACACACAGGGTGGCACAGGAGAAGAGAGAGGAAACACAGTGAGTCATTGTCAGCATCACAGTCAGTCCCAGCTAACACATCAGTAAATCTGTTCTCATCACACAGCGCTCAGCAGAAGTCAACAGTTCAGATCCAACGTTTACTTATTTCCCCCCAAGCTCCAATCCAGGATGTTGTTCAAAGATCTACAACAGCACAGTGTTTGTCCTTTCCCCCATCACACAAATTAAATCAGAAAAGGGCGCAAAACAGTGGTTTGTGGAATGCAAAGTATTGCTACTTACAATACACCAAGAGATCCCATCCATCCATCCAGCCATCCAACCAACCAACCAACCAACCAACCAACCAACCATCCATCCATCCACCCACCCTTCCATCCACCATCCATCCATCCAACCATCCAACCAACCAACCATCCATCCATCCACCATCCATCCATCCAACCATCCATCCATCCAACCATCCATATATTATACATATTTATTTTCTTATTATGTCCATGCAATAATCATAGAAGAACCCATTAGTCCCTATGAGCATTAGCTTTTGCTTGGTGTGACTTTGGAAAGTCACAGTCAGATAATCCACCTGACAAACCTTCACTCGTAAATGATATTCTGTTCAAAGAGACAACCCAGTTGAAGTTAGATGTCTCTGAAATACAGAGGGGTGAGTGATTTACCTCTGGTAGAACATGCATGGAATCAAAAATTAAACCATGGTAACTCACCCAGCTTTGACTGAGTTACTGTAGACACTACCGACAGACTTGCACTCGAGTAGCCCACCTGGCTGGAACCCCGGTTCCACCTGGCCAGATGGGGTCTCACCTGCTTTGGTCTTAAAGGTGATAGATTTGCTGCTGACGCTGTTGAGCTCATGGGAGTAAACCCTCAGATGGTAAATGGCGCCTGCGATCAGATCGGCCACCGTAATCGGGGGCTGTTTCACGGGGACAACGTTCACCGACTTGTCGCCTTGAAGACACAAGAAAGAGGCCAATCACACTCCAGGGGGTGTGGCCTTTGCTCCACAGTAAAGGCTGTCTTTACTAGCAAAAGTCACAGGATCATGATGAATTGCTTTCTCTGAGTTACTGCAGGATTACTGAGATAAATTGAGACTGATAACAATGCAGTGCCCATCCCCGTCATAATGAATAATTCACAGTTTTATATTACAGAAGCATATCCATGATCTAGTTTCCTACTTCTAGCTAGTATTTCTTATGAGCAAGGAGCTGCTCTTTGAAGCTCAGTCCAGCTGACACATTCTGGTTCATTTGAATCTTTGTGGCTACATTTAAAAACTAATCTGATAATGTGGAATGGAGGAATAAAGGGAAGGGGTGGCAAAGCATTGTTGTCTCAATTATTCACAGGCCCACACTTATCTCCATGAAGTTGAAACAAAAGCAGTGACAACAACCTGCATCTGTCAGAGAAAGACGAGTGGTCATGACATGGCAGCTATGAGCATGACTCAGAGGTTGCAGTGCGAGGTTTCCACATCATGCACCAAACCATCAACCCTGTCAGCAGGTTGGTGTCATCCAGCACAACTCATTCCAAAGCCATGCTATTAGCAGCAGTCCTGAAACCAGCCAAACAAAAAGACTAATGCAGACAGAGGTAAAGACATGCAAGTCCTTTACACGTTCTGAGTCAATGCCGTGATGTGAAGTCATGTTCACTATTTCAAGTACACATTTGGTGATGTTTGTGTTTTCAGACGACTGCAAATAATATTTAAATGTCTTTTTACTGAGACCACAGAACTTAATTAAAACAACATGTTGCTAAGTTGCTGCTGCAGATAAAGCTGTTGCTATTACAATCCGCTGAGTTCACTATTGCGACCATCACAAGGGTGCATACCTGACCTTTTAACTTTTGTTTTTCTCAATACATCAGGAAATTGATGACTTTAAATTAACTATTTACATACTTAATGCCTGATTTCTCTGTTTGTCTATCCTACTGTGACTTTTAAATTCCATTTTACAATCCAACATTTTCTTGAATGAATCAGCAAAATGAAAATATTTAGCTTAAGCCAAATCTCAGCAAATATATTGATATAAACTGGGAGGTTACTTATATAACAGACAACCTCCTATCGTTCCAGTACAGTAAATTTTTCAAGAATACTTGAAATAAATTGCATTTCTCTTGATTAATGTAAGGAGAAAAGGGTACATTCTCAAATAAAAGCTGTTATCATGATAAGGGCAGAGTCTCTATTAGGGGCAGTTAAAAACAGCGAGAATAATTTATAATTCCGCAGCACTAATTTACACAGTGTACTACTTTATCTTTTAAGAATTAGTACTGTTTACATGAATTAATTAAATCCAGTCGCCTTTAGTTTGCCCTTCTTTTGATTGGTGTTAAGCTCCAGTCAGTAAAACTCAACACTGTCTACAGATGATGCACACAGGAAGAGGAGGGACCTGAAGGCTTTCCATGTGTAAGGTAAAGTTGCAGCAATTGAGGGGGTATTCATTAATGGTTAGATAAATAAATATGTCAGGTATGATGTGAATGTTGTCCTGTCAATGGATTAGGGTTGTGAAAGGTTCTTTATCCTGAATATATTAAGATAAGAGGTAAACATAGAGGAAGAGTTGAGCTTGTAAACACCAAATTGAAAGAGAAACCTGTCTAGGTCTGTGACATGAAGCCTGTTTCAACAGCACAGTTGCCTCTGTACCTGAGGTTAATACATGCTACTGATCATCTTTTGAGCAAACTTGATCTCTTGAAATGCAAATCATGCATCGTGCGTGGACACAAAATAATAAAGGAATGTATACGAGAGGACATTGAAGTGGTCATGCCATTTTTTTAGTTCATGTTGTGTAAAGACGGCAAAGTAGTACTCAAACAACTTTAGCTTCACTTGGGATTACATTCAAGCAGCTCTCACTTTTACTGCAAAGAGCAAGTTATTCAAATATATCATGGTGGGAATACAAATATGTAGCTGTGTACCCAAACAACAGCATAATCCTTCATCTAATTAATTTTCTGAAACAAATAAAGAGACTACTGAGGAGTGGTCAGTAGGATAGCTGGAGAATAAAGGGATGTGAGGGGAGGTGGGGGGGGGGTCCCTGCCACTCTTCACTTATGGCACTTCTCCACTGCAGGACCTAGCACGGCTTAGCACAGCTTAGTTTGGCCTTGATAGGCCAGGCTCACTTTAAGCTGTGCTTCCACACCGGACTCTGAGGAAAATATTCGTTGTGGCCAAACGGCGGTACTACACTTCCGTATCAGTCGCTGGGCCCGGAAATACTTTTTCCCATTGACTAACATGGGGAAAGAGAAGTCTATAAATCGTTGGATAATTTTTTTTCAACTAAATAAACTACCCAGTGTGAACGTTTGTATAGCCCTTATTAAAAACATTCGTTCCTCAAGTTGTAAAATGTGCTAATAACGTTATTCTGAGAGTTATTTTCCTCTGCACTATGAACGTACATCTAACCCACGGGACCGCGCCACCCGGCACGTTTGTGTGACGTGTTCAGTACCACATGAGTTTTACCTTTACCCATGGATGCACAAGAACGGAACGGATTATATGATTATATGAATACTTTCGTGACGTTTCGCTCTCTCAAAAGTTGGGCCATTTTGTCTTCATGCGCCAATGAGCAACTCTCATAGGAATGAACGAGGCCCCGCCTCCCACGCTGTATCCAGTTCTTATTATACATCCATGCGTATAGTGCCACGCGAAGTCCCCAGCCGGAAGTCCCTGGAGTTGGGGACTGGCTTCAGCCTTCCGAGTAAATCGCCAGAAGCGCCGACACCTCCTCATCTCCACCGCTCCCATGTTTTATTTTGTGTTGGAATAAGTTAGTCTCTCTCCGTTGGTGCGCTGGGCTAATGCTAATTCTAATAATGCTAATGTGAGCAAATAAAATGGTGGCTTCACAAAAACTTTTCAGAGTTTTACGGGGCGTGGTTTGCAAATCGCCCAGCCAATCAGAACTTGGAACCTTTTTCTCCCCAGGAAAGTCCCTGCTCTCTAGCAGGGACTAAAAAGGGGTGAACAGGTTCACAAAAAAAAGTTCTAGTTCCCGATCTTTATGGTGTGAACGCAAAATCTCAGGAACTATTGGAACTATTCCTGGGAAAAGTACTCCGGTGTGAAAGTGCCTAAAGCTTTCAGATCTGACCTTAGAGAACAGAGTGGGCGGGGGGGAGACCATTAGATCAGTCTCATCACCCCCCTCACCTCCCTTCTTCTCACCCTTTCTCTTTCTGTTCACATACAGACATCATTAAGAATTAAAGCCACTGCCCGAATACATTAAAAATACATCCTTCCTTCTTTCCGTTCATTATCAAAGATCAAATTGGAAGCAAAAACAGAGATCCTATAAGTACTGGCAAATCCAATCTCAAGCAGCTCTGGTATTTTAGAAAAGGAGGGATGATGTGTTTTATAAAAGGAGACTTCAAGATTTCCAAACACCAAATCCAAAGCAAAAGGAAAGTCATAATGGAAACCTGATGGCCGAAAAACAGCGTTTCAGACAAAGCAAGCAGAATCCAATAAGAGCCATTCAAAGCCAGGCAGCGTGTTAGTGAGGAAACATTGTGATGGTGCACGGGAAGTTAGTAATGACAGGATGATGAACATTTTCCAACATTTAAAGAGCAGAGAAAGGTATGAAGAGTTCAAGAGAGAAACACAGACTGAGCTATGAATGTGGTTTATGCAGTAAGACAAGGACACATTTTAGCAAAACCATTGAGCAAGGAATTAAAATAAACTGCTACTCAGGTGTAATTAAAGCCTGATTGACAAAAAGGTATACATTTTTTCCATTATGTTTGCTTTATCATAACAAAAAGTCCTGCTGCTAACCAGATTGAATTTCATTTAGAAAAGAGGGAAAAGGTTTGGCCAGAAGTAAATATTTCCATCTGTTTGTGAACATAATTCATATACAGTGCTATTTATAAAAGTGGGCTAGAGTAGATGCTAATGTAGATCAAGGTGTCTTCAAAAAGACAGTACATTCTCTAATACCCAGCACTGAAAACCAAAGCTGAGGTTACTTTAAACATGATTCAATACATCTAGTCTTTGTGAAACACAGCATGTCAAAGCTGCCAATTGGGTCATTATACATAACAGCTTTTTTAAATCTGCATTAATGAAATTTGGTTTGTTTGCCACTAAGGCCGGACCCCACAACAACCAAATTGTGGCTTTCTAAAGATGATTTTAGCTAATGTGTGTATATTTTTATGTAAGTATCCCAAAGCAGCTGAAACAGGCTAAAAGGCGTCAGAGCTGAAGGACCTGCAGAGTTTGTGATGACTCTCTGTAGGGTCAATACTACAACCAAAAAATGACATTAGTCATAATCATTTGACCCATTGTTCAAATTAAAGTCAATGATAGTGAGTATTTAAAATGAGAGCTGGTCAAGTCCTTAATCTTAGAGGTCAAACCGACATGGTAGAGTCTATTATATTCTAATTTGGTGGTCCAATAATTTCATGTCTTTCAAATCTGTTTTGTTAAATCTGTTTAGCCTTATCTTTGAAATATTGCACTACTTCTGCTCTTCTTACTTTGTGACATCTCACTACTCTGTTTGTCTTTGATAATCAGACAGCTATTGGTTTTCATATCTCAGGTGGCTTGGACTGGTTTCTTACTGTCCAGTGTGAACTCTAGCACAAACTCGCTGCTGCCGGCCGGGAAGTTGTGTCTCCAGCTGACGTTAGCGTAGTTACTGTTAGGCTCCACCGTCAGATTCCAGATCTCCAGCCTAGGGGCCACTACACAGGGGGGGTCAGGGGTAGAGGGATAAGGGTCAGGGGCAAGTGGCAGAGATTGCACAGTTACAACAACCACACACGCGTCTCAATGAAGAGCTATGCATGGTGCGAGCACGGAGGGACTCTAGCTACGAGAGCGATCGTTTTGATGGGTACCGAAGTAGATCATGATCTTTCTGAAGCCAGAAGTACATTTGTTTTCATGGACAGGAAACTCACCCATAAGAAAATAACAGAGGATTTGTTAACACATAGCTGGGATGCTTAATTCTGGTTTGGACTCATTTGACCTTAAAAACCAAAAGAAGAGGTGAGCTCTGCCAATATCACAACCTTTATCACTCTAGAGATTAAGGCTACTTTCTTTTATCATTTAATTTAAAAAAGGTTTGTATTCTCACTTCCTGACCAGGAGGTTAGTTACTGGCTGCATCCCAATATTCTGAAGTAATTCCCCACTTTTTGTACAGTAGGTACAGCACAGATTATTGGAATGCAGCTCTGATGTGGTTTCCTGTTTCGTCAGGTGGGAGAAGGCAATCGTCTTTTGTTATCCATGAAGTGCCGTTCATTGTACACTAAAACAATAGAAAGACAGTCAAATCCAAAATGGGACAACAGCATGTACCCAACACATTCTGATCATTGCGCCTGGTGGGGACCAGCTCAGGACGTGCAGTGGTAGTGGTCGCCTCAGTCGTAGTGGTAGTAGCAGCAGTAGTAGTAGAAGTAGTAGTAGTTGAGGTACTAATGGTTGTAGGAGCGATGGTAGTTGGAGGAAGAGGAGCGAGAGGAGGAGGAGTAGGAGAGAAAGCTGAATCTACGGAGGCCTCTGTAAGCTCGACTACAAGGGAGGAGGGGGGAGAGAGCAAAGGGTTAAACACAAGGCAGCAGGAGAACATCTAACAGGTACACACACACACACACACACCACACACACACACACACACACACACACACACACACACACACACACACACACACACACACACACACACACACACACACACAGGACAATGAATTCCTCTCAAGCAGCACACATCACTGCGCACATCAAACGTCAGACTAAGTCATCATGGGCGAATGAACCATCACAGCCTTCATTTGAGTGTTTCCTCTTCATCTCTGATTTGATGCGTTCACACCCCTTCATCGTCCTGCATGGACTGAGGTTGCACTGCCACCAAGAGGACACCTGCTGATATTACAACATGCCTGTCACTGTATTTCTTTAAAAGAAGGAACATTTCTGTGTAGGGTCTTGGTTTAGAAAACCCCAACTGGTAACCTTATTTTGATTACCTATTTGTGTTGCATTTAAAGGGCAACACATTTTTTAAATCCACAAAGGTCAGTTGAATCATTATGGGAAGTATTATTTATCTTGTGCCAGTGAGAAAGAGAGTGAGTTAGAGCTTTAGAGGAGCCATAGAGGAAACTGACATGAATTGACTGGATTGGAGATCAGACAATAATAACATCTGAGAGAATAACCCCTGATGATGTCATCTGGGTTTACCTCGGCTTAGATTCACGGACTAACCATTTATAACAAAAGCCTGTGTTACAGACTAGGGCTGTGGACCGGAAATACAGGGGTCAAAGAAAAAATAGGCTATTGGTTGCATTATGGGAAATAATGTGGGATCTAGCTGGGGATGCACCAAAAGCGATACCAGCAAATATTTTAGGATAAGCGATGATGACAAAATGCAAACTATGCTCTGCTAAATTGTCAAGCGGAGTGGTGAAAAAAGTCCAACTGTAATGGTATTATTAAGTACTCATATCAGTAGTCGGTATCGGCAAGTACTCACCTGTAAGGACTTGTACTTGCTGTTGGTCTAAAACATAGTGGTATTGCTGTATCCCTAGATCAAGCATATTTAGCTTACTGTTACCCCTTGTGTGGTGTTCCTATTTTGGTTACTCAGCCAGTGTTCGTGGGTCTGATAGACCCGTTGCCTTTTTGGGCTTCAATTCAACACAATCAAACTATTTTATGTTAAAATACTCAACAGATGTTTACTTCATCTCAATTACAAGCAATATAAACAGCATATGGTTCATATTTGCCCTGTTACATTTGTTAGATCACATTAATGAATTAAAGTGCTACTCGTTTTTTTGCCCGCTGACCGGCTGGTCCTGTGGCTCGTCTTCTTTTGGCACCTAGCTGATGCTCAATCTCATCCTCTTCTTCAAAGTCACTGTCAGACTCAGAATTCTCAGAAATGTGATCCTCACATTCTGAAACCTCTTCCTCTTCATCTACATCAAATGTGTAGGAGGGGGGGGGGTACAGTGGGTGGTCCTTGAAAATGTGTTTTGATATATGTTCTTCACAGAAAATGAGCCAAGGCCATTAATTGTGAGTTTGACAAAATAATTTGTCATATAATTTTTCTTTAACTAAATAATGGAAACGGGTCCCACAGACCCGAACACCATAGAAGGGTTAAGTAGGGGCAACATATCTCAACCTCTGTTGCTTCCATTTGGACCCCTCTTCTTTTAAATATGTCTCTCACAGTTCCCTACATTTTGAAGCAATTTAAGTACCCATTTTAGTATTGCTCCTCTAAAGTACTTTCCAGATGAACCTCATGTTTCAAGTCACAGATCACCATCAAGCCTTTACAGGCTCCTCATTTACGCACATATAGCTGATGGGAAAATACAACACACTGAACGTGTTGTTATGTCACATTTCACTCAGTCTGTGAAAAACATACACCACACTGGGTCCAGCACATCCTAGTCCACTAATGGTTGTTCACTCCTAAAGTACCTTAATGTTTAGGTCTTCTCCAGTCAGTAAAGGGTCCTGATACTTATGCCCCCCCCCCCAAACATTTCCATCACACCACAACCCCCAACCCCAGCCAGCATACGTGTATCCCCAGACAGGAGACCAATCATATCATCAAACCACTGTGCAGGGGAGGGAAAGTAGGACGTGATGATGGAAACATCTGAAACAATTACAGCCCAGTGAGGGGGGGGCGGGTCAGAACAGAGCTTCAGGACAGCTTACCTGTGATCCTCAGTACTGTTTGTACCACTGACCAGGTGAGTGCAAGCAATGGATAAAGATGGCAGATTGAGATGACTTTTGGAAAAGCTCAGAAGCAAGATGATAAGCCAGTGATGGAGTTTCTTTGTAACCCCCAGCACACTCATCAATTCACATCATTTTTCAAAATGTTTTCCACATCCTGACAAATTGACGCAAGGACATGTATCTCCTCCCATCACACACACACACACACACACACACACACACACACACACACACACACACACACACACACACACACACACACACACTCTTGTCATAATCATGTTGACTGAAAAATGGATCAGAACACATAGGTTGCTACACAAGGCTAACTTGTGTCCCATGGCAGGAGGAGGCAGTGATGCTGTGAGATTGCATTAAGGTGTGCTATCAGGGATTGGTGGATAAATCTAAGTTTAAATGTCAACATAACATACAAATAGTTAAAGGAGGGTCCTTCAGAAGCTTTCAGGGTGATTGACCTAAGGTCTGTCTAGCAGCTGCTACAAAAATATCTTCAGCTTGTGTTAACCACAGTTCTCATTTCAGGCATTTCAAAAAAACACGTTTAAAAAAAAAGGTATATTTTGAGACAGAGTTGCCAGAATTGGGAGAGTGCTGACTCATTCCAGTACCACAATATATACCTAATAATTAGAATGTGTAAAATATGTGATGTTACATTTTCACATACCTTCATATAATAAATATTTCACTCACTTAACCTGTGTTCGAGCTATAGGTGGCCTTAAACATTGAGTTGCTGCTTGGATCCCTGACAGCACACAGCAGCAGGTGGAGAGATGAGAGAAGGAGACAGCAGGACAGTCCACTAGCTAAATGACTATACCATATACCTATAATGCATATTGTATAACTGCATGTATAACTACTGAGCTTGCATGTCTACAGATCAATTGTGCAAATGTTTTACAGTTCAGAAATTATGAATGACAAACTGTAATTTTGACCTGATGGTGGATGTGGTGTTAACATTTGTTTTAGAAGATCTGTCACTCAATGTATGGACTGCAGGACTTGGATAATTGAGCATCCCTTCAAGCTGGTTATCTTGAGTCTGATCAAAGTAATCATTGAAAAAGGTTAGGCTCTGATTGAATATGTTGAATACGCAGTCACAGAACAGCTTCCTGTGGGGTACCACACAAAGGGCTTGTCCTGATACTTGACTGACTGTCAAATTAAAGGAAAATTTGAGTTTCCCTGATGGGGTCAAAACTAGTGTAGCTGCTCCCTCTGCTGCCTGCAGGGTGAGCTGCACTCTGATGGATTATACAATGATATAGTGGACTGCTCTGCTGTCTAGTGGGAAGATGAGCAGTAGAGAGATATGGAGGGGGGGGTAAGGAAAGGCAACAGGCACGCTGTGCTTCTCATTCCCCATTACCTAGGCCTGTAGAGTCAGTACCGTTGTCTGCCAACAGAAGAGGAGAGGAGACAGGAGAGAGAGGGGGGGTGTGAGAGGACTGAGATGGGCAACATCTTCTCGGGTTTGGAGGAAAACGTTTCTGTCAAAGTTTGAAATGCAACAACACTTTCTCCTGAAGAAAAAGTTGTGATGAAAATTGCTCTGTGTGGAAAGTGAGTAGGAAAAGATTGTGTGCATGTGTGTGTGTTTTTGTTTCTGTGTGTGTGTACGTGTGTGTGTGTACGTGTGTGTGTGTACGTGTGTGTACGTGTGTGTGTGTACGTGTGTGTGTGTGTGTGTGTGTGTGTGTGTGTGTGTGTGTGTGTGTGTGTGTTTGAATTGGTTCATCCATCAGTGACAGACCCGTTCTTTCTCCATCTGATACAAACAAAGAGGCCAGTGTTTACTAAAGGGCCTCACTCACTTTTTATTTCTAAGTGTGTGTCTGTCACACACACACACACACACACACGTTCCAGTGATGCACACAGCCAGACTCTTACGAGGTAGTCACCCTATCGAACCAGTCTAGTTGCCAGGCAGAAGAATGGCTGTAATTCCGTGGTAAAACCAGACACAATGCAGCAGAGAGAAGCTACAGTGTCAGATGATGCCAAATCCCATTCAAAACGTTCAGAAATGATCCTATTCAAGTTTTAAAAACTAAATTATTGTAAGATAATTTATTAAAGAATAATCATTTACTGTATTATTTTTGCTTCCCTACCAATGACTCTATTTTCATTTTGAGTCATTTTCTAACAGCTGGTTGCTGTAGGTTAAGGAAACATTAAAGGAAGAAAATGTTATGTGGTTAAAGAGTTTTTAAAACAATTAGGCTACAAGACAAAGAGAGGTAAGATACATCAGGCTTTGTATATCCTAAAAGAACTTTAAACGAACAATTGATTATTGGCATTATTGTCTCATCCTTATCATTTCAAAATCAATGGCTCAAAGTGGTTGGCACTAACATAATCGAGTCAGCTTAGAACTGTGACTTTTTTTAACCTTCTTTAAACCAATAACATAAACTATTAAACGTAAAAAACAATGAACTTGCTATGTTTTTTTCCCCTCCAGTGAATTGGCTGCGTGTACAGTGAGTTTTAATGTCTCACCACATCTTTATGGAAGCACTGACTGTTTTTTTTTTGTTGGTATGAATAATCACCTTCATTTGTGAAGTGTGGGGATTCCTCAGCGAACACTTCCCCCGCCCCCACCTGTGTGAGCGCTGACAGGAAGAACTTGTAGCGGGTGGATCGGTCCGGCAGGCGGAGGCTGAACTCTGTCACATTGGGAAGGAAGGTCTCCAGCTGGTGGCGGCCCATCCTGGAGGCGTTGACTACACACACAATCACAGAGAACGACAGAGGGTCAGTTTGCTGTCAGAATTTGCCACACATGATCAGATTTACTCAAGTACTGTACTTAAGTAACATGTGGTTGAACTTGAGTATTTCCATTTTATGCTAGTTTTACTCCACTACATTTATTGAATACCTTTAGTTACTTCACAGATGTGGATGAATGATGTGAAATATAATCAAATGTTAAATCAGACTTTAGTTCCACCTGGAGTAAATCCACAAGCTACCCTGCAGTATACAAAGTCATTCAAACTAGCTGCACCTTTACCAGCTTTGAGAACACTTTCATGATCAATCATTATAAAACATATCATATATTATTCTGAAATGGACCAATCTGCACAATGACTATTTTTACTTTTGGCACTTTAACTATATTTTGATGCTAATAGTTTTCTACTTTTACTTGAGGAACATTTTGATTACAGGACTTTTACTGTAACAGAGTATTCCTACACTCTGGTACTTTTACTGAAGTACAAGATGTGAGTAATACTGCCACCTCTGTAAATGATCAAACGGTGAGTCTGGCACTACTGTAGCTGTCACCTCTGTGCTTCCTCCTCACAGTTCATCTTTTGACTGGCCACCGTTACTGTTACTCAGGTGTGTAGAAGTGTTTTCATTCATTCTGCTGCCCTGCTGTGTCTCACATTGTAAACTAATGTGGTCAAAATGCAATTTACTTAACATTCCTGTTCCAAACATTCCAAAACAAATGATTTCAGGATGTTAGTGCCAGAAAAATAACATGTGTGCTTGTATAGCACTTTTTTAGAAAATAATTAGGATCACTTTCATAACGTTTTGGGTTCTATTCATATGTATAGCATCTGCAGTCTTGTGGGTCCATTTTCTAAATCTTTCAACATGTTTGCATTTTTTAACTCACAAATGAGTTTTTATTTTGTGTAAATAAGGTCTATTGACCATACATTTCTGAAAAGAAGAGTAAAACTTGTGTTAATACTGTAAGTATGAATAAAGTTGGCTTATAAGGTGTAACACAGATTTGGGTGAATATGTATACAGTTTATACTATGTAGGACAGAAGTTGCACAGTGGAAACGAAGACAGCACAAGGGTTGAATAAAAACTATAAACCAAAAAAAAGAATCAACCCAGTAATAAAATGCTTTCTGTCTGAAGGCTGGAGGTCTGTATTTATCTGAGTTGAGTTTAGTCGTTTTGATCAATGTGAGCAGCTCACCTGTCTGGTACTTGAGCTGGTAACCAATCAGGAGGCCGTTGGGCTCTAGAGGCTTGTCCCATTGAAGGTGGATGGTGTCAAAACCTCTCCTGTTTATCCTGAAAAACTTGGGAGCATCCGGCACTAAAAATACACACACACACACACACACACACACACACACACACACACACACACACACACACACACACACACACACACAACACAATAAAGGGGTCAGGAGTTAAAAGCTACTTCCATAGTCAATCTGAATTCTGGCAGTATGGTTGAGGTCTGGTTCTGCATATTAAAAAGTCTGAACACTTGAAATAAGATGTGGTTTCTCTTGTAGGATATATTTCAGTAGTGAGGCAGCGTTCTCACCCCCCTCCTTGGTGGTGATCTCCACCGTGTTGCTGGGCGGACCCTCTAAGCCGCTGTTGGCCACCACCATGAACATCTTGTATTTAGAGAATGGCACCAGGTCGCTGAGGACTCCCGATGGCTCTGCAACTACGCTGTAGAACCCTTTGGTCTTCTTCTCTTTACTGACCAGCAGACCTGGAACCAGACTGGACTCACGCCAGTAGTACAACTGGGGAGGAGCAGGAGAAGGAAGTGGTTATTATGTGAAATACCATCGGAGGAGATGAAACCAGAGAAACTGAGATTTAGAGTGTGTGTAGCAGGCACAGAATCAAAGTCACACAGGCTCACTCTGTTTTTTCTGCAGAAAGTAACATTCAGGTCCACATTCAAATACAATTTCCGGGTGGAATTTCTGGTTAATAATTTGATCAGGTATAGCAAACACTTCACACATAAATGCAAATATCTAAAGGTTAAGCCCCACTTCACTGGACAGAAGAACTAACAAAACATTTTTTTAAAGTTTTAAACAGTTTATCTTAAAATGCTTAATTTTTCCCTTGACAGGGTTCACACACTTTTTCACCAATGATTTTCAATGACTTTTCCATGACTTCTCCAGGAACTTTACCTAATTTTCCATGACCAAAGAAATGACTCTTTCTCAGCGGTACCACTGAAAATGGTTTATTTTAACACGGAACAGGAAAATAAGGTCTGCATATGAAACATGTTGTGCCTATCTAAAACAAATCCAATAGGCTTACTAGCTTCTACACGCTAAAGCAACTAAAATTTCTCACCAGCAAAACACCTCGACAGTTAAATGCCATTTTACGTTTCATTACTATACGATACAGTATTTATTATCATTATAGTATTACTATGTTGGCGATTAGATAAAATATAAATTATATTTGATGCAACTCTAGTTAAATTTCCATGACTTTTCCAAAAAACTTTGGGAAAAATATTGTTTTCCATAACTTTTCCAGGGCCTGGAATTAGCATTTTGAATTTCCATGACTTTTCCAGGTTTTTAATGACCGTAAGAACCCTGCTTGAATACAAAGAAAATGTAACAAAGAAAATGTAACAAAAGCCTATTATTTCTCACTATTAAATGATGAACAGTAAATAGTCCTGCATTACGGTGTATTCCACATCTGTTCTACCCAAACCCTGCAGTGGTTCCTGACATCAGAGAGAGAGGACCCACCCTGTACTCCTTGAACTCCCCCTGCACAGAGCTCAGGTCGACGGGCCTCCAGTGAAGGTTCACCTTGGTGCTGTCGGCCTTCAACACCCGCAAGTCAGTGGGAGCGTCGCTGGGATCTGAACGCACGGAGAAATGGGCATGTTATGTTTTATTTATGGAAAGGTGCAGTTCTGTTCATAAAGAAATAAACAAGTTCTGTCAGTGGGGCTCTTATTGCTTCGCAGACAACAGCACTAAGGGATAAAAAGCTATTTTAGGCGCAAGATTTAACAATGATATTGTAAGACGCTGAGTTTTTGTCATCCTGAAAAGCTTCAACACGAAATATCTACCAGCTTTATTCAAAGAATCAACTTCCTATTGGCTTTCACCAATGACTCTGCAGTACTCACTGTCCTCCCCAGAGTACCCAGTGACCACATTGGACTCGGGCCCCTGCCCAAACTCGTTCCTGGCCTGGATTTTGATCTCGTAAGGCACGTAGGTTTCTGTGTTGTGGACGACATGTTTGGGCCCCGCTGTGGTCACATTCCTCCACTCCTCCCCTGCATCCTTCCTCCTCCACCACACACTGTAGTGCATGTTGGGGCCATTTCTCTCCAGATCCAGCAGAGGCTGGAGAAAACAGAAAGTGGGCTGTTAAAGAATGTTTTCTGAATACAGTGTTTTCAAATTAGTAAGAGATGAAAACACTTAAGATGAAGTCAGCCATTAGCCAACTTTTTCATGGAAGTTAAAACAGTTTCAAACATTATTTTCAGTCAAATAAATACCATTAAAACAACTAATACTTCGATATACCACTTGATTTTACCGTCCCAATTCCATCCATGATCATTTCTTAGAATAATGCATTCATTGCCGTTACTAACAATAGCAATGTCCTGCCCTCAACATGTCCTACCTCCCAGGTGATCTCCATATTGTCCTTCTTGGATCCCCATCCTCGTAGTCCTCTGGGAATAGCATCTGGGACTTTTGTTAACAGAACAAACAAGTCAACAGTATTACAATTACATTAAAGAATGTACCCACACCAGAGTTTTGAACTCTTTCATGTATAGAGCAACTTTGTCTCAAGCTAGCTACCGTACTTGGCATTGTGTAGCAGTCAGTAAATATAGTACAGTATAATACTATACTTATATACAAATACAACAGCATACACCAGGATGGTATATGATATGATTAAGTATTTGTTTTGTTTTTTATACACAGTATGACATGTTATTTATATATATTATTAGAATAACATAATCAAGTGTATAATATAATATGAGATATTAAGCATAACAGAGTATATCATTGTATATTATAATATATACATATTTAGGAGAAATCATTCCTATTCAAGCAAGACTGCAAAATAAGAGCGCAATTATTTTATTTTATTTACATTTATTGTGAAGAATGTTTTTTTCTGCTTCCATATGTAAAGCAGCTAGAAGGAAAAATCCTGGCTTCAGGTTATTTCAGTTTGAGGATATTATCTTACAGGCTGGAAATTCTTTATTTAAGAGGACACTTCCACAACTTCAAATCAAAGGTCACAGTTTGTTTTGTGTAAAGAACATGAAGTTATTATCTGATGTGAAGACATGTAACCTCAGAGTCTTTTAACAGCCAGAAGCAGATGATGTCAGATGGGTTCGTGTGGTGCTGCTCACCCGCTCCGCTGGTCTTGTATCGGGGGGAGGGCCGGCTGGGGGTGCTCTGGCCCACGGAGTTGAAGGCGATGACTCTGAACTGGTAGTTGACGAAGGGGTTGAGCTGCAGGATGACAGAGTTCAGGTCTCCGGGGTACGAGGATAGGTCCTGCCACCTGCCGGACTCCCATCGGTCCTCCTCAAACTGGACCAGGAACTCTGCAGAGACACAGAGCCGAGTGAGGAGAGGGAGACCAGAGGGGGGGTGTTCCTCAGGGGGGGTCATTATAGCTTTGTCTTCATTAATGAGCTACACTCTGTCAGGAAACTGACATAGCAAGCTATGCTTGTGTAGGGCTGGGCTTTATATCGATTAGTATCAATTTGTGATATGAGAATGGATATGGTCTCAGATTTGGGGTATTGTAATTGTTGTCTTATAATGGTTTGAGAAGCAGTAACAGTGAAATCATGTCATTTTTCTGAATTCACATGAAATCACTGTTTAATTTTTTTCCTTTACCCACCTAGTCACTTCATCTTCATTAATGATGATTATTTATCAAAAATCTGACTGTTTAGTTATTTGTCAAAGCATCAATAGTCAACCCTAAAATATCGTTAAAATATCAATACTGAGATGTTGGGTCAAAATATTGTGATAGGACTTTCTTCATAGAGACTAGCCCTATGCTTGTGACACCTGTCAAGGTTCTGACCTGTGATCGGACTCCTGTGGTCGTTCCCGGGGATCCAAGTGAGGCGAACACTGCGGGCCGCGGGGTCCGACAGGTCCAGATCCATGGGAGGGTCCGGACGGTCTGCAGAGAAACTGAGCTTAGACAAGGGAACACACTCCAACACACACATGCAGGCAACTACAGGCATGCTGCAGTACACGTGTCACTCATACTGAACAAGATCATTTTAGCTCCTAATCTGTCAATCAATCTTAAATCAAGCCACACCATTAGATTTTGTTATCACCCAATAACACCTCCAAATCTCCTCCCAATACAACCATTTTTTCTTTTTAGGAAATTGTTAATATATAACCTTGTGAAATTAGTAAAATATAAAAACAACTCTACTAGTCCACAAACTCAGAATGGGTGGAATATGGCTCTAAATGGGACATCACGAGCAGTCTGGACAAACATTTTCAGACTTACTATGAGAGTAAATGACTGGACAGGATGGATTGTGATGCATGCAAGTCATGTACGAATCCCTTATAATAAATAATATAATTACAGCAGAAGCACAATTAAAAAAAGACGGCGAGGACAAAAAGTAAAAGAAAAGACGACTAACAGAAAAACCATCAGAACAGAAAAGAAAAGACAAAGAGATTTCCACCAAGCCGTGTGTTACCTGGAGGCAAGGCACTAGAGACTGAGGGGTGGAGGGAGGCTTCCTCTGTGGGGGGGGGGGGCCAGGAAGTGGGGGTAAAGGTTAGAGTTTGAAGGTTAGTCTAGAAGCCAGTCATCAGCTAAGGAGCACAATAGTCAACATGTCATTTAGTATTGTATTAATACAGGTCAGACCACTAATATGTACAAATAATGTTCACACAGCATGTTCAAACTGAGCAGACAAAGCAGCTTCTCTGCAGCACTATAGCACAGAACTACAGTATCTCAGGACGCTGCATGCAAACGGCTACATCAGTGACAGTAAGTAGTGTTAAGGCTAAGCTAGCTAAGCATTTTGGTATGTAGTACACATATGCATGATTTCCACTTGAAGACATACAGAGCTGAAAAATAGTTAAGTGTCAGGAAGAACTGAGGACATTGACAGTAAATGTTTAAAGTTAATCGTTATAAGAAATAAGACAACAAAAACAAAAAGGTTATAGTGTCTATTTATGTGTATCGGTGCTGGAGGGGGCAAGAGAGGACATCACTTGAACATTTCAATGTTGACAAACTGCCTACTTCTACTTTACTATAGCCTTAACACTATATCTAAATGTGAGTTAAAGCAATTATACTTTAAGATATTCAACTGGCATCCATAGTTAGATCTTTACACAACATTATTTTGCATGGAAATGACATAAGGTTACACTTTAGAGTTTTTTTTATACGACATAAAACTCAATTAGTATATTGAATGTGAATTTGTGATTGTCTCCAGCTGCTCAGATTGTGTACCTAACACAGTGAGGCGGGCTGAGGCTGAGTCCTCGTCTATCTCAGATCTCACAGAGCAGCTGTATGTGCCCTCATCGCCTTCGTTCACATTAGGGATGGTCAGGGACTGCTCGTTTTTCTTCAGCCTGGGGGGGGGGGACAGACACAGAGAAGGATTGCTTGTTAAACATCAAGAATTCAAGTTCATCTCTCTATGTGAAATGGATCAGGCATGCAATGCTAAAATCAACTAACTGTCCAGGTTTTGAAGACGTAAAGTGGGTTTCTCACCCTTAAGATATTCTATGCTCATGCTGTGATCACACTTTTATTTTACAGTCAGTCACTTCTCCGCAAATATTGTGTTATTTTTTTTGGGAACATTGTCCCATATGTACCCTGCCTTATAAACTACACCATGTATAGACCAAGAAAAATGTTATTTTTTTTTGCAATGAAAGCATCTTTATTCAAGTTGACTAAGAATATACTAATGTTTCAAAATGAATGTGCTTATCTGCCAAATATTAGACTTACAGTATACAACCCATATTACCTTAACATTTCAATTAATCACAAACAAACTAAGGACCGATGGTACACCATATTCATCTTATTAAATTCCTTTGAGGTGAGTAGAGTAAAGGGGATTTCTTTGTGGAAAAATGACCACTTTGCATAAAATGTCTTTTTTATCTGTTGAAACACTGACAGGATAGCTGGTGGTTGACTCTACAGGTGCAGCATCAGAGGTTGTGTAATGTAGGTGTAGGTGCTGGTACCTCCATCCCAGGTGGAGGGGCTTGTCGTCCTTGGTCCAGCTCACAGTGACGGGCAGGCTGGGGTCAGAGGTCACCTTACAGTCCAGGTGGACCGTGGAGCCCCGGATGGCGGACTGGTGCTCCGGGGCTCTGATTATACGTGTGGGCTCTGAGGTGGAGGGAGGTGAAGGGGGAACACAAACACACAGTCACACACACATACTACATGAACTCACTCATTTAGAGGCATCCAGGAGAATGAGTGACAGGTGACATCAGGACAGCAGATAGCTTACACATCTTCCGGCGCAAACTCATCTCTTTCGACTCCACTTCGAGCGATAGAATTACTAACAAAGCACTTATATACTAATAAAGGGCTGGCTTATCTAAAGCCAGTTGAGTAGCACTTGAAATGTTTGACTCTATGAAACCTGATGTACTTATATGATTCTGTTTTCTTCAAGTTTGTATCTTCTTGGTCGAATGCACTTATTGTAAGTCGCTTTGGATAAAAGCGTCAGCTAAATGCAATGTAATGTAATGCAATGCAATGTAATGTAATGTGTGTCTGATGGCTGACAGGGAGCAGGTGGATGGAACACACTCTTTTCTAAAAGGCTAACACACACAATATCACTTCACTGTTAGCAGCACAGCTCCCAACATCTTTCTGTTGAAGCAGGTGAACTAAATCTGCACCAGGAGAGATGACATTACTTTCAGCACAATCTGCTGTTAATAACACAAACATATACAATTCTCTTTTCCTTTGAGAAGCTATTTTGTAAGAAATGCACGGCATCATTGTAAAGTGCTGTGCTTTGATGTCCAACCCTCCACCGCCTCCTCCTGCAGCCCCTTTGCAGAATAAGAACCTCCCACTTCCTGGACTGGCAAATTCTTCTTAAAGATATTTATCTATTTGTAACTGATTGTTGTGCTTTTTAAATATGGGGTTCCGTACTTGTCATTTGACCAGACAAATTGTAATGAAAACTAAAATTGTACCTGTTGGTAAAGAGAAGTTAAGGAAGTTTGATTAAAGGCACGAGAGATTTGAAAAATGTCCAGCGGTGCGGGCTGTTTGGCACAAGGGAAAGAAATAATTTAATTCAACACAAATGTCCTCTTTTACCAAACCAGGTCATGGGATTCCATGAAGAATTCATAACTGGACATGAGTTCTTGCATGGTTACAGGATTTAATATCAGCATCAGTCTGAGGGCAGCAGTGGTGACTGACCTTTGACCTCCAGGCGGACCTGGTTCTCGGCCTTTCCCAGCATGCTGCTGGCCACACAGGTGTAGGTGCCCTCGTCCTCCATTCTGGCCCGTATGATCTCCAGGGTGCCGTTGACATAAACGCGGTACTGCCCGCCATCCAGCCCACTGCCCTGTCCGTTCTTAAACCTACACACATTAAAAACACAGAGTATAAACAAGTGCATTCCATAATAGAGTACCACTTGCTATAATACACATGGACATGGTCCTCCAGCGCAGTGTTTTTCAACATTTTTTGAGCCCCGGTAAATGTTCTAACATTAAAGAAATCCCACAGTTCACCAACAAGCAAAAAGAAACAAAATGATACGCTGTAGCTTAAAACAGCGTATATAAAATGAAGATATAATGAAGATTTAATAACAAGGCTTTCAATTTGGCCACAAGTTCAGCTGCTAATAGCTAGCTTAGAGCTCTCTCAGGCACCTTTGTGGTGTTTCTCAGAAATGTTACCTATTTCTCAGTTTGTTTACGAAGGCTAACAAAATAGTCTGTGTTCCAAATCCAAACGAAAGATAACTTTCACTGTATTGCCTCCAGCTCACCGTTCTTTCTTTATTTTACCACCACTCATACTAGGATCTTCCTCTGGGTTGGATTTTGTCCAGGATCCAGTTCAGTTTTTCCAAATATTCATTCAACGGTGTTCGTCTTCTCAACGCAACCTCTCCCGCACATCACTCAATTCTACTGTTTTAACGGGCTAGCTACTGCCACAGAAGAGTATTTAAGTACTCAGCTAGCTGCTACATTGCAGGCACAGACGTACAACGATGGCAAGTTATTTGCATTTTTGGACCAATTTAGTGAATAGCACAACTTCGGCACACCTGACCATCTCTCACGGCACATCAGTTGGAAATCACTGCTCCAGAGGATGATGACTACACAAATATTTCTGCATCTGAGTAACCAACATGTGGTGAGAGGCTCACCAGCGCAGGTCCGGCAGAGGGGAACCGAAGAAGGGACAGTCCAGGAAGGTGCGGTTGTTCTGGATGACTTTAATCAGCTGGTTCTTAGGAGCCAGCATCCTCGGAGGCATGTCTTCAGAGAGCACAGCGGATCACACATTTACCAATTCAATTCTTACAATGTCAATTGTTTCGATGTTTTAGCAACATTTCATTTCATAAAAACTCAATCCCAATAGGCTCTTATCCAGCCAAACACTTTGTAGAAAAGCAAATACTGTATGTTATTCATAATATAACTAATGTGAAGTGTATACTTCCGGACAATGCAACATAAATGAAAACAAGAGAAGTATAAGTGTAAATATATGGGGAAAAGGTTTTCACAAAATGCTATCCAAATTTGATTATTGAAGATATTGTGTCTGGATGCATATCTGCTTTAGAGATTTCAGGGCTACAGAGAGACGTGTAACTTCAGCGCAGTTTAGTGAATGCTCTGCATCCATTCTGAAACCCTGAGTGTCTCACCGAGCACGCTGACGAAGGCGTTGGCCAGCAGGTAGCCGTGCTCGTTGGAGGCGTTGCACTGGTACACAGCGCTGCTTCCGATCTGTACCGAGCGGAAGATGAGGGTGTCCCCCTGCACCTGTCTGCTGGGGTTGTGTGGAGAGCCTGAGGGTGAGGGGGGGGGCACAGAATGGAGTGTTACAGCCTTACAGAAAGCATTTTAAGATATACAGTAGAGACATATTCTAAACTTGATTTGATGAGTCGTAACTTTGATGGTCCGTGAATAATAAACCTTACAACCTGTTTGTCTTTATCATGCCAAGCCGGTTCCCCTGTATCTGGACTACATATGGTCTTTTTGAAAGAGGCAGGGCCTCAGGCAAGAACATTTGCAAAACAAATGTATCCAATTTTTCTGTGAGGCTCGTTAGTATGAGGATTCCATTTCAGATTAAGCAAACTCTCTTGAAAGTACAAACTTGTTTTAAATTCAAGAGAGCTCCTGTTTGAAATATAATCATAAAATTATAGCTTACAGTAGATGATGTTACACTGACAGGCGTTATATCACACGGTCGTACTTGACAGACATCTTTATTAAGACCCTGATGAAGCTGTTGGATAACATCATTTTTCCCAAACAACTTCTGACCTGTACTTAAATAAAAATAACTCTGTCAATTGGTAAGCCTCCTATGCTGAGGATATATATAAACACACACACTTTTCTGTGAGGAACATTTGTATTGTGTGCTATGGAATAACAATATAATAATATTGAAGAAAGTGGAACACCTACAAGACACTATGTTCGGAGAAACTCCAAGAAAGTAAGTGTACATAACTATGACATGGGTTACTAGTTACTAGTTACTAGTTACTGAGCCTCAGACCTGGCTGTAACACTGCTTTTAAATATAGACTCACAAATTGATTTTTAAAAATTATAAAAGCATAAAATGGAAATAAGTGGAGCAATTTGCAACCTTCAGTTTAGTTTGTTATTTTGTAATAAAAAAACAAGTGTTCATTTGTTTAAAATAATTGCAATGCCAAGTGACCGGTATTTTATTGAATAATATTTATAAGAACAAAGACAGGAGGAATATTTACTGTCTATGGGCTGTCCGTTGATCAGCCACTGGATGTTGGTTTTGGGGTTTCCGTTTGCGCGACACACCAGGCGCCCGTTCTCGTCAGGGGCCAGCACCAGGTTCGCAGGTTTGTCCAGCCAATAAGGAGCCGCTGTGGGACACAGAGAGGCAGATCAGCACGAGGGACTCAAACACATATTTTAATGAACACATAACCTCTGTAACCTCCTCACCTTTGACCTGGACAAAGATGGAGTGGCGTATGCTGCCTAAATGACTGTTGGCCATGCACACATACTCCCCAGCATCCTCCTCCGACACGTTGGTGATCTTCAGGGTCTTGTTGTAGTTCTCGAACTTCGTCCGCCCTGGCAGGTCCCCCCCCTTCTTAAACCACTTGATGGCGGGGGTCGGCCTGTAGGGGAAGGACAGAGGTGAGTTTTTTTTATGAGAGGGGCACATTCAATGTGGGACAAAGGAGACAAGGCATTGATCAAGAGTAAACTTTTGGTTCAGTATAAAGTCATAAGGCGCTCAAAAACTCATAAAATACAATTATTGTTGTTTGTTTAAGTTACAGAAATTATGTCAATTACTTACTGACAATTTGGCCGGCGTGTGTGTGTGTGTGTGTGTGTGTGTGTGTGTGTGTGTGTGTGTGTGTGTGTGTGTGTGTGTGTGTGTGTGTGTGTGTGTGTGTGTGTGTGTGAGCTCACAGTCCAGCAGCGATACACTCCAGCAGCAGTTGCTCGTCTCGTAGCACCATCTTGGAGCTCTCACTCCCTGAGGGTGAGAGGAAGGTGGGCGTGGACTCTGCCAGTTTACGGCCTGCAGACAAGGTGGGGGTATTACACACACACAAAAACACACACACACACACACACACACACACACACACACACACAGTTGATCTGTGTACCAAGACTTCTTACAAGGGGCTGCACATCCTCCTTGTAGGCACTGAGAAGTTAATCTAACACTATTATTCCCATAATTTCCTTGTGGCTGTGTTCCATCCCTGCCAGGCTCTCCCTGCAGTCTGTTGAGGGGCCAGAGCGGCCTGTAAATGGGTTTAACACCCTCTGGCTTGTCTCACAGGAAGACATTAGGAGATGCAGAAAAAACAATGGAGTCATTGATCTTGCTTTAGGTTTGGCGAGGGGACAGAGATGGGAAAGATTGCCATGAAAGGCTCAAACTAATCTCATTACAGCAGAACACTGCAAGTTTTATCAGCTGCTTTATCAAACATCAAACTAAACCGTATTTTAGGTCATGGACTCTAGTTGACGCTATTAAACAAACTGCTGTTAAACCTCCCTGTAGGGCTTGGCTTAAGCATGTGTAACCTTGCCAAAACCAGAGCAGCCTTTAGAACAGAACCCTGTGTTGTGTGGAGTTGGCTTCTACAGCCTTTAATAATCCACACATAGCGAATGACTGGGGAGGAGGATTGATGATAAAGATTTATTTGAAACCTTTGCTGAATGTACATTTTATTTATACAGTTCTATAGAGAAAGTCTCAGTATTTATAAGTTTTGGACCCAAAACGTTTGAGCCTAAATGAATCAGTCAGTGTGGGGTGTGATCAAACTGCAGAGCGCTGTCTTTGTTTCTATACTACACCAGGACGTATGTGGCATTTTAATCCTGCGTGTATCAGCGTGAACTCACTTTTCCTGTTTTATCTACGGTAAAGAATACTGAGTCATTTAAAATGCAAAAGTATTTATGCAAGATGAACACTTTAAAGGTTTCACTTTTGAAGGCCCAATTTGGAAGTCAAAGTAAAGAGGGTGCAGCTGAAATGTCCATTATACTGTAACCCTTAATTGCACAGAAAACTTGAACCAAGTGGGTTTATAAACCGTTATGGAACTGTTTTCCTTAATTTTCTCTTCTACTGTACATGAGTTCTCACCATATCATTGTATGACAGCTAAGATTTATTTCCCAATGGAAAAAAAACTAATTGTAATAAAACCTGATCATCCATCAGTCTATCCAGGCTAACTAGTTAACATGGCATGAGTTTAGAGTCACCCTTTGACATTCAGCTTAATGCCCATACAGGTTAAGGCTGACCCTGTACTACATCTGACTGTATGCAGCATTATCATTGATATTTGACTCATATTGTTTGGAACTACACCACTGACTGAACATTTATATTTATTTCCAATTGATGCGTTTGATGCCAAGACTGATTTAGCTGGCCCTTTGATCTGTACTACATTCTATATGCACATTTCCAGTCTGATCCAATCACGAGACAGATGCTGTTAACACTGTGGACATACAATCCAATAAGCAGAGAGCTGGAGCTTGCAGAGATGTGTGGGGTTAAATTAGCATTAGCCTCTTTTGTGATGCAGATCTGTGTGGGATTAAAGCATCTGTTAGTCGGTTAGTTTCTCCAGCGGTCAGAAAAGGAGGATCTGTTATTGTCAGTGACACTGTGAGGAGAAGAGGAGTGAACAGAGGGGGACATGTAGAGAAGGCGGTTGAAGGTAAGAAATGCTGATCATCCAGTACACAATCGCTATAGAGTGAGCTACGGCAATGCAGAGAGCACCCTGGAGACATGACATCCTGCTGACGAGGCTGGCAAGGCTTCCCAGGGTGCATTGCAGATGTATACCCCCTCCCACTGACAAAAAAGACAGGGTTGTGTTTTTGCTTCTGTGTGTGTTCTTAAGAGATCAGTGATCAAATAGCTAGCATGTGTGTTTCTGTGTGGGTATGAGCGGGTTTGGGGAGTAATGGATTACATGTAACTGTATTACATAATCAGGATATTTATGCAAAAGGTGGAAACCTGATTTATCAAACAAAAATACTGTGTATGCTTTTAACTGATTTGTTTAACAGCATTTGTAAACTATACTATTCTGTAAGCCTCAAATATAAGAGGACACATTTTTGATCCTAAATATCTTGGTTTCATCTTTTCCAAAGGCAAATTGTTCTGTTGTCTTAAATAATACACTAAAAAACCTTTTATTGATTTGTCTTTTCTCTTGGATCTATTTGCATTGCATTTGACCCTGAGGACATCCAAAAGTAACGTAAAGTAATCAGGTTACATTAATTGTATATTGTGATACTCAGATTACATTAATGATTGATTCAGGTAATATAACGGATTACATTTTGAAAGTAACCCTCCCAACCCTGGGTATGAGTGGTCGCATGTGAGAATTTAGAAATATGTGAGTCACGCACACATGAAAGTAGGATGCAGCAAACCTTATTTGCATAAATATATATGACTATTAAGGACCCCAGCATGAATCCACACTGAATATTCATCATTTGACCTAAGCCTCGTCGAGTCTTCAGTCCCACTGGGCCTCGGAGCCAGCCCAGTCTATCTGCTCCCTTTGGGACATATCCCATCCACCCCTGGGGTTCACTGCCCCCCTCGTCAACCATACAGCCCCCCCCCGTTCAGCGAAAGGCACATATGTTGCCCCTTTGGCTGATCTCTTCCCTCCAGCTATGGGCAGATTCAATAGGTGTATGTCATAATGAATAAACTCCTTCTCTACTGCATGTGCAATACAGTTCAATGATGGATGATTTGCGTGTTAATAACTGTATGTTTATTCATTACATGTGATCATTTAACATTGATTTAAAGGTGGAATTATGGACTAAATAAGATGAATACATTTTCCACTGTGTGAGTTTATACAGGGGTCAGAGAGGTTAGTCTTTTATTGGATGTCACATCTGGTCCTGTCCTCATACACTGCACCGACACATTAACGGATTCAATCTATATTACAACTGGTGTTAATCCAACTATGTCCATGCTGAGAGGGTGAAATGACTCAACACTTTCTAAAAGTACTAAAACTCAATTCCTGTTACACTGGTTTTAGTAAAGGGACACATTCAACAATATATTTTTACTAAATTCAGTTAGCCCAGCTTTCCTGGATATTTTTGGCACAATCCTCGGGTCCCCAAAGTGATCTGACAACATTTGATTAGTATGTATCAAGCAATAATTGAAACATGTTGCTCAAAGTGGCAGTATCTCTTGTCTGGGTTATATGATGTGTGTTGGTTGAAAACAGGAAATACTATAAATTATTTTTTGAATGATCTAAATGTGATTTTGGCCCCTATAGACCATGTAGACAAGGTTTTAAATACTTCATTTCCAAAAGTGTCAAATATCAGTTGACATCACCCGAGCTCACTTTTCTACATGAAGGTTAGGAGGTTGAATTAGTGCCTAAGGTCAGCGTGAGGTCACCGCTGGAACCTCACTGAGCTAGCGGGTTAGTGTGCTAGCCATGTTACTGTGGGACATGAATACGGACAGGAAGTGGAGCTGTCCTGACAGGAAGTGACTCACCACCATAGGGGTCAGTGGCATTGTAAGATGTTTCATCATACGGCTCTGCTGAAAACACAGGCACACACACAGAGAACCTGAACACACACATTAACAGATCTGAAGGAGACATCTTTACATTATATCAAGATCACCCAACAGGTCATGGTCTCTTATCTGCAGCAAACTGAGAAAATGGTATGAAAGGTTATGATTGAATGTATTTCATGTCATATCATGACATCACCTCTAGATGGGGATATGTCATCCTTCATTTGGAATAGATTGTGATCTAAAGCACACAGCAGGTATTGAGAGAGAAAAGGACCACAGAGTTCATACACTGTTACCTGAGGGGTCACTATATTGGCTTTGAATATTTCAGAACACATATCAAAGTCAGTATGGATCTGTGTGTTGTATACTTACTTGTCTGAACTTTGAGCGAGAAGGGGTTCTTCTGCTGGATGGTGTGTGTGAAAAGGAAGCGAGCGTTGCAGCTGTAGTCATTGTGAGCGTCTTTGGCCAAAACATTGGAGAAGTACAGGTCTCCATTCAGACCCATGGACACTCTCTTATCCTGAAGGATCGGAGACATCGCTGGAACAGAGCAGGGAGCAGAGGGAAAGAGATTCAAGATTCTCTGCCATATGCACAGTAGCTAATGGAAACCTCCACATTACTGTTACTAGGCAGTACTATTGAAAGGTATAGGATATATATCTATGATTCCCATCACACCACTCACCCACACAGAGATAGTGTTTGTGTCTGAAACAAAGCAGAAATCAAATGCTACCATCAACAACTGATCTCATCTTGTATCAAAGGCTAAACATAGCATCACTTATAGTGTGTTAGATGCTTATGTTTGTAAATGGCTGTGACTCAGGAGCTAGATGATCATCCTCCAATCGGAAGATCAGTGGTTCGATCCCCATCAATTACAGTCCAGTTGTCGACGTGTACTGGTGGCAAGATACTGAGCCCCACATTGCTTCTGTTGGCTTACAGTGTTTGAGTGTGTGTGAGTGTGTGTGACTGTTACTCTGGGCAGGTGGCCCCTCGTATGGCAGCCTCTGCTTCTGTTGGGCCTCTCTGTAATCAGCTCTGGTTCCCAGCTGATGTGTCATCCTACAGTTGCTACAGGCACATGTTAACCCCCCACGCAGACGTCCAGACAGACCGCCATCAAAGGCCATCAACACTGAAACTGCAGCGGCTGACGCCAGCCGTATGGTCGTCAAGACAACGCCTCAGGACCAATCAGCAGCCGGGCCAGCAGTTCTAATCAGGCGTTGGCGTGTTACAGTGTCTGGGCTACATGACACACTGATGTACTGTAGCTCATCTGGGAGTGTGTGTGTGTGTGTGTGTGTGTGTGTGTGTGTGTGTGTGTGTGTGTGTGTGTGTG